GTTTCTCAACCTTGGCAACTTGGAAGATGTCCGGACTTCAACTCCCAGACCACCCCAGCCAGCGCATTCGCTGGCTGGGGAATTCTGGGAGTTGAAGTCCGGACATCTTCCAAGTTGCCAAGGTTGAGAAACACTGTACTAATGTGACAGTGATTCACTAAACAAAGATGATAAAAGGGGGCAATGATCACTTAACGAATGTCTCGCTTAGCAACAGATATTTCGGACTCAAATTGTGGTTGTAAGCCGAGGACTTACACTATAGGCCGATTGCCCAACAGAATAACAACTGTGCACGCCTGCAAACTTGTAACTTTTTTATTTTTATTTTATTTTTAAAAAGTCCAACAGCTTTAGAATAGATCCAAATGTATTAACTTCTCAAAAAAAAAAAAATACCCAAAGGTACAGATTTAAAGTATATTCTCCTTTAAGTACAAACTAACTTTCTTGAGATGCATTGCATCAATTTTTTTGCATCCGGCGGAATGCAAAAAGGTTTGCTTGTTTGTTTGAATTGCACCCTGGCACAAACCCAAACGCAGGATGGTTTTCTCAGCATACGGCCTCTTTTCAGTCTTGTCCAACCTGGTGCCCGCGAGATGGGCTGGGCTACTACAATGACCGTCAACTGATGGGGGATGACGGACGTTTCTCCAACCCGTCTGGTGGGCCCCGGGGGGGTGAAAGGAAGGCTGGTCTTCTTCGTTTTTAACAGACTTCCAACAGTATTTGTTAGAAAAAAAACGTCCCAAGCTTTTCCCACTGTAATGACACAGAGTGTTTCTCAGCCTGGACCACTTTAAAGAGGTGTGGACTTCAACTCCCAGGATTCTCCAGGCGGAATAGCTCCCTCTCTTGTCATCCCTTTCTCCGCAAACTCTCCACTCCAAGAGAGAAAGGAAATTCTGGGAGCTGAAGTCCGCAAAACGTTTTAAAGTTGCCAAACATTGATATAGAAACGGGTTTTTAAAACAAAATATCAGAAACAAAAGAACATTAATCGTCATGGGCCCGTAGCTATTGAAAAAAAAAATGCTCTAAGGATTACCCAAATCTTCTTTGCTTTGAAAACCACAAAAAATATATATATGACATTTTCAGTGTAACTTCTGACACTCGGCCAACTATTCAGGATCCTTTTATGGAGGTTCGAAATCCAGAATGTTATCGCAGGCAATTCCATTAGGGTTCCAAAAAAATTCCCCCGGCTGGAAGTCAAAATTAACCAAACATGCAGAGAGATTTGGGGGGGGTAATATATGCTGAGATGTTGACTCCACCACTTCTGATCCCTTGATACGACAGGGAAGATCCCTTCGTAAAATTACCACTGAGCAGAGGAGTCACAAAGTGCACATTTTCTCACTACACAACAAAGCAACCATCAACAGAACTCAGAGCGGGGAAGGGGGGGGGCGTTGACAGACGTTATAGGAAACCAGGCTCATTTCAGTAGAGGATGCCCCTGAAGGAAAACCAAGCGGCTCACTTTGTGACCGAAGGATTAAAAAAAACTTTTAACTCGAGGCAGTGCAAGGTTTTTTTTTACTACAAAGATACTGGCAGGTTCGTTTTTGGCAAGCCTACGGACCGGATCCACGCTAGCATTGCTGCGGAGGCCTTGATGGGGGATCCCCATTCACCCCATTAGGGTTATTACCTTCATGGCAAATTCCACCCCCACCCACCGCACCCCAATTCCTTCTGCTTTTGGGGGTCAGCGAGAAGAAAACGGGACGAGCAGATCCGTTCAGCCAGCAAAGTTTTGAGAAGAGCAGAAACTGCCCCGTGGCCAAAACTAAAAACTAAATCGAACCAGGAGGGCAAGGTGTATCATTTTTTTTGTCATCTTTGGGGTGGAGCATCAAAAACGGACTGGCATCTTCAAAAACAACCACGGGAACACAACGAAAAGTAAATAGGATTTCCCCCCTCCTTCTTGCAGGGGGTTATTGGACCTTCCCAAATCCAGGCAACGTGTCTCTTAAGTAAATAAACCAAAAGCGTGCTGCGTTTTTCCTCGTTATATCGGAATATGAGAGGGTTGGGTTGTGGTCTTAACTATTTCAAGCAGGAGGGGTGTCCAACTTTGGCTGCTTTTAAGAGTTGCGGACTTCAAAACCACGAGCTAGTAAGGAAGGGAGGAGAACAGGGAAAACCCTGGGGAAAGTAAGAGAAAAATAAAAAGGAATACTCTGAAGAAAAGATACAACCACCGTAAAAACAGGGAAAAGAAAAAAGAAGTTAGAAGAAAGGGGGAGGAGAAGAAAAAGGATTAAAAGTGGAATTCTTGAGAGCCCAAGAGAAAATGGATAAGAGGAAGAAAGGGGAGGGGGGAAGAGTTGCATAAGTAGATTAAAGGGAAGAGTAGTATGATTGGTATTGCTCTGTAACTAATTAAGAAATGGAAGAAATTATAGTATATTGTTAATTGTAGAAAAAAATGAAAGAAATGCTCTCTATGTTAAAACTTAATTGGAGGATAGATATTGTTTATGGTAAAATAGACCAATAGAGAAATATGAAACGATAATTTGGTGCAGTTTTTGAAAGGGGCAATTGAAGATATCCTTTATGTACTAAGAAAAAAAATGAGTATAAAAAAATGGAAAATAATAATTTGGCTGAAAGTGAAAACAAAGCTACGATGCAAAATGGATTAGGTAAAGGAGAAGACGTCAAAAGGAAAGATCCGCTCAACCCTTTTTTTCTATAATATGTGTAAAGTTGTATTAAAAAATTAAAAAACAACAACTTTGGATTGAAAAAAAAAAGAGAGTGTTGTGGACTTCAATTCCCACAGGTGGCAGGGGAATTCTGGGGATTGAAGTCCAGAAGCCTTAAAGCACTCAAGGTTGGACGTCCCGGTGTAAAGTAAGGGTGGTAAATGAAGAGGGGAGTGGGGGAAGGATTCATCTCCTTCGGGGTCTTGACACAAGAGTCGGAACATCTGCCACAACTTCTGGATCAGAGTCTTTCCAGCTCCTTCGGAGGGGAGGGGTCTCTTCTAGGCCACCGTCACAAAACGGGTGCCCTTGTTCTGAGCCAGAGCTGTCCTTTGTTCCTTCAGGATGCCGAAGCGTTCGTTGAGGGTCATGCTGGTCTGTGAAGCAGGAAGAGAGAGAGAGGAGTCATTATTAGGATGTTTACTATTAAGCCTGATGACGTTACCTAGCTTGGTAGTGAAACGTCTGCGGGAAAACCACAAGGCTCAGAGAGCACCAAGGACTCCGCCGTATTATTATTATTATTATTAGGCGTCATCAGCAGAGTCAGCCAGGTGTTTTGACTGCGGTGCGGCATTTTGATCCAACCATCGAGGCCTTCCCAAGAACCGGGGATAGGCAGGCATTGATTGTTTAATCGTGTTAAAGGGATTGTGGCAGGATGGTAAAGCTCTTCAGAGCAAAGCGGCCTTTCGCAACTGGCGGGTGGCAATTTTGTCAATGACGGTAGCTGTTGTTACGGCTCGCTGCACAGTCAGCCAGATGTTGAGACTGGATTTGCCTGCATTTCTATCTGCCTCCAAGACCTTCCCAAGGACCAAGGATAGGCAGATGCCGCTGTTTTGATTCTATTAAAGGTATCGTCATAGGATGTAAGCCATCTCATCTTCCCTACTACCGTCTCCTGTTGGTATCTAGTATTTATCACTTCTTGTTGTATCTTATGATTATATCCAATTTATGAAGGGAGCCACGTTGGCACATCAGGGGAAACCCCAATCTGAAAGCTTCCTGGTTTTCCCCACCCAGTTGAAAGTTCAAGATCTTTCGTTCCCCACCCACAAGTCCATCCCATGGTCCAATCATCCACTGCCATGCTGGCAAGTTCCACCCATCCAGTTCCGATTTAAGTGCAAAGGTGAAGAGACAAAGGATGACCTTGGCTTTCTAGAAAGAACGTTGTTATGGCTACATAGCATCTAACTCCGTACAATCCCCGCTCTCATTTTCCCACCATAGAAAACGCAGAGCAGAATGATAAAAAGTGCGGCAGGCCAAAGATCCAAAAGGAAAGATGGCTGCAGGCCTGACTTATCGAGGTTGGAAAGAACGGCAGATTCAAATTTTGGGCGACGGTCAGATCGGAGCAACCCACCTGCTTCCCGACACTGTTGATGTCGAATTGCAAAGGGACGCCTTTGGGGACCTTCTTCTCTTCCGACGGCTCCTTCTTCAGGAGAAAGGGGGGTATGAGATTGCTGGGGAGTCTCGGTTTCAAAGAGCTGCAGAGCAGAAAAAAACAGATTTGGGATAGCACGCTGGGCGCACCTTCGACCAAAGGTTTGCCTCACCAGAACTAGAAAACATCCGCGGGATATTCAAAAGCGGGAAACCAAAGTGGTTTTTGTCAAAGGGGGAGAGCCAGGGACCAAGGGTGGAGTCAAACGAGGAATAAGCATGGTGTCAACTTCTACCATGAGAGAAGGGGGGGGAGCGCATTCCACGCATACTTTCGGCTAAAGTCGGATCTCAGATTACTACAGCAGGCTTGGGAGGGGTGCACCTCATTGGGGAATGTGATTTATGACACAGACTGAGGGGAGGGGAGGAACAGGGGCAAAGTTCAGCTATAATTCAAATGAGGCTTATATCTGACTGCAGTAGGGTATTGCCAAAATGGTGCTCCTAATAAATGACTGGTTTTCTTTTGAATCTTGGGTCGATACTCATGAATCAATTAGGGCCTTTTTAGGAAACCTGACACCTGGAGTTGTTACAGTCCCACAAACGGTCCATGTCTGGCCTCTCTTCAATTCCGTTAACACTTATCCAATGCATCACTGGAGGTTTTTAAGAAGGGATTGGACAACCATTTGTCCGAAAAGTTGTGGTCTCCTGCTTGAGCAGGGGGTTGGACTAGAAGACCTCCTAGGTCCCAAGGGGCCGAGCCCTGGACCTAAACAAAAACAGAAGCTGTTCGCTCTGGAAACAGAAATCATTTATTGAGGCTGGATTCTCGGCACAATAGGAGTCCTTTAATGATTAAGTCAGCGCTGGAAGCATCCGCCTCCCGGCGCTCTTTGTAGGCTGGGACTTGCGCCCTTCCGGACGCTGGAACAAGGCTCCATCCAGCAATCGCTAGCAGCCTTGTTCAGCCGATCACTAGGACATCGGGGCACTCGGACGGCTCAGCTACTTGGCTCTTGGCATGCAGTCCTTAAATCAGCTGTGCGGCGGTTCTCAGCTTGGCTTCCGATTGTCTGTGCGGCGGCTGGGTTGCAGCTTTTAGCAATCCGGACTCTCCTCTCGCTGCCACAGCTGTGGCGGTCAATAACGCCCACCCACACCCCATCTCCCCCCCCCCCAGGTTTTGCAAAGCTCGCACTGGGGTTTGACAGCCGGTTTCTTCCAACTGTTATTCTAATTTAGGACTGTCCAGTTGATTAGAATCTTGCGAGTGGTGCGGTGGCCTAGAGGGGGAGCCCTCACCTCACAATCAGGAGGCTGGGAGTTCGATCCTAGGTAGAGGCAGATATTTCTCTCTCTGGGCACAAGGATAATATATCTGCTGAATGTAACTCTGCATTGGCGACAGTGCAGGGCATCCGGCCAGTAAATACTCAGCTCCATTGGGTGGCCCAGATTCCACCCCACAAGGGATTATGGGGTCGTTAAAAGAGGATAATGAGTGATTCACTACTGTTGCAAGATTCTCATCTGCACACAATGAGAATATGTCCTTGGTGAACTCCGCATTGGTGACGGGAAAGGCATCAGGCCAATAAACACTGAGCTCCATTGGGTTGGCCCGACTCCATCCCCACAAGGGATTACGGGGTCATTAAATGACCCCCCCACAAAAAGCTGACTAGAATCTTGTGTATAAATAAGCAATAAATCAGATTAATTAGAATCTACTGTGTGATTCTTCATGCTGATAGTTTTACTCACATTGGAGAGAGAACAGCTCCAGGATTGTCAATGGAAATAGTCAAAATCCCTCCGTTTCTCGTAGATGTTCGCCATCTGCTTGGAAAGTACAGCTCATTAGTTCCGAATTAATTTACAGGAAATCCGGGACACAGCATACAGACCCCCCTTTTTGCTCTAAATCATAACAATACGGAGGACTCTGGACAGGCGACATCATTGATAGCGGTATCTGCAAGAACTGAGGTGGCGCAGTGGTTAGAATCTGGCATTGCAGGCTAATTCTGCCGACTGCCAGCGGTTCGATCCTGACCGGCTCAAGCCTTACGTCCTTCCGAGGACGGTGAAGTGAGGACCCAGATGATTGGGAGCAAGAGGCTGACTCTGTAAACCGCTCAGGGAGGGCTGTAAAGCACTGTGAAGCGGTATATAAATCTAACTGCTCTTCTTTCCTTCCTTCCTTCCTTTCCCCCCCTTCCTCCCTTCTGTGGTGGTGCAGTGGTTAGAAATGCAGCATTGCAGGCTAATTCTACCAAAAGCCAGGAGTTTGATCAGGCACTGTGGAGCAGTATATAAGTCTTGGCTACTATTTCTCTCCCTCCCTTGGTTAGAATAAAGCATTACAGGCTAACTCTGACCACAGCTAGGAAGTTCGATCCTGACTGCCTCAAGGTTGGCCTCAAGCAGCCAACCAGCTCTGACCCAACTGAATTCCCGTGCTGAATTTCTGGATTAGTTTGCAAGAACAAAAGGTACCCACACTCCTTAAACAAATATAGAGATATGCCCCACCCACCCCCCCAAAAAAAAAGAAAAGAAAAGGAGGGTACAGATTGGTGATTGCTTGGTCAATTTCTTTGGAATACTTACGGGTGTTTGGTTCCCTGGTTTCTGTGGTCACATTCCGGATGTACTTGTGCTTGTACCTGGGGGATGGAGAAAGGAGAGGAAAGGAAAGGAAAGGAAAAGGGGAAGGGAAGGAGAAAAGAAAGAGGGAAGGCGAAAGGAAAGGGGGAAGGGAAACAGAAAGGGGGAAACAGAAAGGAAAGGGCAAGGAAAGGGGGAAGGAGAAAGGAAAGGGGGAAGAGAAGGAGAAAAGAAAGGAAGGGAGAAATGAAAGAGAAAGGAGAAAGGAAAGGAAGAGAGAAAGGAAAGGAAAGGAAAAAAAATCAGATACCTACGGATAGCAAACTAGCAAATTGAAGCATACAAGGAAAAATAAAATCTTGTGATTTCTACTTCTACTTTCTTAGGGTTACAAAAAGTCCTCCTGTTGCCTCCATCGGTGTTTCTCACTCTTGCCAACTTTTTTAAGATGTGTGGACTGCAACTCCCAGAATTCCCCAGCCTAATGCGGTAATGCAATGCCTGAAAGCTGAGGGAATCAACTTCCCCCCCCCCCAAATGGGAACCAACCTTTTGAGTGAGTGACAAGATGTCAAGATTGGCAGAAGAGCGGTCAAATCTCTCCCTCAGATTGACAGGTCCTTCCTACAGAGAAATGCAGGTATGGAAATTACCTTCAGGCCCCGCCGAAAAAGGAAAGTCGCTTGGCGCGTATCTTTCTGCTGGTATAATTTATTCCCGATTCTGGTGGAAAGGGACTGGATGCTCGGCCTGTAAAATAGAGCAAGCCATTCATCACGACCTATCCTTGTGTTGTTTATTGCAGGGCTGGCCCTTTAAGGCTTGCGGACTTCAACTCCCAGGGTCCTCCTGGCTGGCTCAGGAATTCTGGGAGCTGAAGTCCACCAACCCTAGTTCCCCATCTCCGCTTTATTGCCACGAACACAGGTATTCCCTGATTGACAACCATCTGTTTAACGACCATTCAAAGTTACAGTGGCATGGACAAAAGTCAACTAGGCCCAGTCCTCGCTCTTATGACTATTACAGCGTCCTCACAGTCAGCTGATGACAATTTTAGTTCTTTGACAACATGTATATTCAAGACAGTTGAGGGGTCTGGAAGTGACATGATAACCGTTTTAGACCTTCCCCAGGGGGCTTCCAACCAGAAAAAGAGGCAGATCTACTTAATGTCATGATTCACTTACCGACAGGTGCAAACATGTGTCATAAAATGGGGCATGACTTGGTTAACAACTGTATCACTTAACAACAGTTCAATTGAGGAGTATCTGGATTGTTGCAGAGCAACAAAAGGGAATTTCCTGGATTGAACAGGTCCCCGTCTTAAAATTTTATCAGGCAGAGAAATCAAAGCCGATCCAAGCAGAGGATCAACAAATTCGTTGAACGTTCCTAGTCACAACGGCACTAGAAAAAAATGACTTATGACCAGTTGGAGAAAAAGCGGCTGCCGTCACCATCTTCTTCGTGCATGCGCATCCAAGCCGCTAAGCAGGGACCGGACGGGCGGGGTGAGCCAGTGGCAACAGGGGGGGGGGCTGGTTCAGGGGCGTGGCCAGCCAGCCATCGCTACCAGTTTGCCGAACTGGGCAAAATTTCTGCCACCGCTTCAGGCGAACGGATACGAAGCGGCTGAATACTACTTCGGTTCACTTGCTTCCCCCCCCCACCCCCGCCCCATGGCTGATGAAGATCTTCCCTGGGGCTTATCGTTGGGATAGGGCTTATATTAGGAGCACGCTCAAAAAAAAAAAAAGAACCCAGGCTAGGCTTTGTTTTCTTGTTAGGTCTTATTTTCAGGGAAACACGGTACCCACATAAGGGATCCCTTTGCTTATATACACTAATACAAATACAATAGCAAAGTTGGAAGGGACCTTGGAGGTCTTCTAGTCCAACCCCCTGCCTAGGCAGGAAACCCTATATTGTTTCAGACAAGTGGCTATCCAGCATCTTCCTAAAGACTTCCAGTGTTGGAGCATTCACAACTTCTGGAGAAGAAGTTGTTCCACTGATTAATTGTTCTCACTTAAATTTCTCCTCAGTTCTAAGTTGCTTCTCTCCTTGATTAGTTTCCACCCATTGCGTCTTATACAATACAATAGCAGAGTTGGAAGGGACCTTGGAGGTCTAATAGTCCAACCCCCTGCCTAGGCAGGAAACCCTTCACCGTTTCAGACAAATGACTTTCCAACCTCTTCTTAAAGACTTCCAGTGTTGGGGCATTCACAACTTCTGGAGGCAAGTTGTTCCACTGATTAATTGTTCTCACTTAAATTTCTCCTCAGTTCTAAGTTGCTTCTCTCCTTGATTAGTTTCCACCCATTGCTTCTTATACAATACAATAGCAGAGTTGGAAGGGATCTTGGAGGTCTTCTAGTCCAACCCCCTGCCTAGGCAGGAAACCCTTCACCGTTTCAGACAAATGACTTTCCAACCTCTTCTTAAAGACTTCCAGTGTTGGGGCATTCACAACTTCTGGAGAAAACGTTGTTCCACTAATTGTTCTAATTCAGGAAATTTCTCCTTATTTCTAGGTTGCTTCTCTCCTTGATTAGTTTCTACCCATTGCTTCTTCTCCTGCCCTCAGGGGCTTTGGAGAATAGTTTGACTCCCTCTTCTTTGGGGCAACCCCTGAGATATTGGAAGACTGCTATCATCTCTCCCCTGGTCCTTCTTTCTATTAAACTAGACATGCCCAGTTCCCGCAACCGTTCTTCATATGTAAC